CTCAGCACTGCTTCCTGAAGTAAATTTTTCAGCTTTCCTCTGATTCTGTGAGTTGCCTTGTATACCCCCAGCCCATCGCGCGCATACTTCATATCAACTCGTTTTTGACTGAAGCTAGCCAAGTCATTTTTGGTGCTTGTGTCCAAAGAATTCCCAATGAACCCTGCCCTTCTGCACCAGATAAAATTTTACTCATCCTTCAGGATCCAAGTCAAGTGTCCGTTTACTCACTCATTCATTCACTCAACAAATATTTACTGAAAAATACCATGAGCTAGTGCTGTGCTAAGTGCTGAAGATTCTTGACCACATGAATCCCTAACTATCTCCAAATGAAGAACTTCTGGGAGATTTCAGGTGCCGAAGTTAGTTGTATTCCTTTCTTCGTGGCACTCTGTCAGCGTTGATCTGGGTAATTGATTAATTACCTCATATCCACATTCCCCATCCTCCTCCCCCGACAAGCAACCATATTAATTGGTTTGATATGTATTTGAATGTATTATTGTGAAATGCATACTGTAATTTTGGGATTAAAATTCAAGAGCGCAATAATCCAGGAGAGAGTTGATGGCAACTTGAACCACAGGTGTGTTAGCTTCCTATACAAGAAATCCCTGCATTTAAATGAGAACAAAACCCAACAGAAAGCTGAAAAAAATACAACAGAAAACCCCAAACTAACAAACAACATAAGATGCAAATCGCTAATAACGAGAGAAATGCAGATTAAAACAATAATAGCACATTGCATCTGCTATTTTGATAATAATTAGAAAGCTGATCTCTATCCCAGAGAAAGTTCCACGCAGGATCCTAAGGGAATGTGTATGAGGAAGTTCATTGCAGCCTTGTTTGTGGCCACGGGGTGGTCAGGACAGCCTGGGTCACCATCACTGGGAGGATGAATGGGTAAAATGTGTATCAGATTTGGGGTAAGCACTTTTCACGCATTATCTCATCTTTCTTTCAAAACATCCCTAAGATAGTGGAACTTTTCATAGCATTCCCATTTTACAGACGACAAAACAAAACCTATCCTCTCCTACACACAAAGGCTGCTTGTCCTCTGGTACATTCGTCCTAGTTTTAGAAAGAACACACGGGTTTCAGGGCCTCAGCCCCATCCTGCGGTCTCAGAGAGGCGTCCCCCTTTCGGCCGTGGGCGACCTCGGGCCTGGGCCGCCAGCACCGCGGACAGCGCCAG